GCAGGCAAACAAGCTGGGAGAACAAGGGGCCCTGCGTGTGGCTGTTGCTGCCATGGTTGCACCTGTGGGTGCTACCTCCTGGGGCTTGTATGGCTGCAGCTAGTGACACGAGCCAGGGAGAGGTGATGCCCCTTCCTCCATTAGAACAGAACTATTTTAAAAGGCTGGAATCCCCTCGGAAAAGGTCAGAGCCCTTCCCTTTGTGCCTTAGGTTTCTACCTTGCTCGCACCCCATGTATGCAACCCTCAGCCAGCCTCATCCACCCCACTGCCCAGCTGCCTCCTCCTCAGCTCGCCAAAACCATGTGGTTTGAGGAGGCTTTGGATGCTGCTCACTAAAACACCGCCGGGGCAGGAGACGTGAACTTTAATGGCACTGCATATCCAGCACCAGTGCTTTTTAAATACACCTGCCTCCTCCTCCCTGCCAGACAGAGATTTCCTGCCATCACTGAGCAAGGCTTGGAATCGATTTTATATGCTCGCTCCCCACCGCTCCCCTGTGCTGTGCTGCCGCGTGCACAAAGTGGGAGCAGGCAGCCAGCAGCCCTCCTTTGAAGCACTTTCTTTGCAAGCAGGTCTGTGATAAAGTGGCGTGAAGAGTGATCGCAATTGTTGGTGTCTCGAGTGGATGGTGTGGGTGTGACGGGCAAGACGGGGAGGGGAAGCTCGTGGCTGCTCTCTCCAGTCATGTCTTGGGTGCAAGAGCGGGACAACCACTTTGCAGCCCTTCAGAAAAGCTGTTTTCTGGAGAGCTGAAAGGCTGGTCATTTCCTTCACACTGGAAAGGCAGCTCGGGGAAGGAAAGGAGCAAGCGAGCTTTGTGCAGTCCCACAGAGCCATACTTGACAGCGGCTGAAAGATGCTCGGGAGCACGGGGTTTTCCCCCTCCAGGCAGTGTGGGCCACCTTACTTCCAGAGCAAAGATCCCTCAGCATAAAACCCTCCTTTAAGCTGCCCACCCAGCTTGCATCCAAGAAAGAGCCCATCGCTCGCAGCCCATAGACAAGCGGCTTGTGGCTCCCTCTTCCCGACAGGGTAAGAGGAAGA